TGTTCCTTCTCTAATCTCTTTTGTCTCAATACATGTACCCAGTTGCTTAGGCCACATTTCTGGGAGTCATTTTTTGGGCCATGGGATCTGGATTCAGAATTTGAATCCATAATTTACTAGCTTTATAACGTTGGACAAGTTACTTACCGGCTCATTGCTTCTTTCTCTACATATGAGACTGGGATGATAGTAGTGCCCACCTCACATGATTGTTCTGAGTGTTATATGAGATATCCCGTGTATTGCATTAGTGTGACTTAGTCCAAGCTTGTCCTTCTGGCTACACGATAGAGCAGTTAGTCAAGGGCATGATGCTGGGGCAAGGAGAGCAATTTTATTCAGAAAGCCAGCAAACTGATGGTGGACTGGTACTGTTGTTCCAAAGACCATCTCCCCAGGCATGAGATTTGAGATTCTTTTATGTTAGGAGGAGGGGAAGTAGGAGAGGGTTGGAGTCAAAAGGTAACTGATATCTGTAGAGATCTGAAGAAGGTTGTGTAACTTCTTTGTCCTTGGTCAGTTGATCATTGGATGTACGAATCTGGTCATCCCATTCTGTAAATCTTGAACATAGCATTCATTTTTGTACGTATTTCCTTATTTCCCTGGGTGAGTTATATTTTGGATGGGAAACAGTTTTTGCGAATTTTAGCTGTTTGTGCAGGTGCAGGGGTGAGCAGGAGTTTCTAAGCTATAAGTCACAGTACCAAGGGAAGTAGAAGCAATATGGAGTCAGGCATGCTAAGTTTCTCTCTGCTGCATTAGAGCAATGATTTGCTGGAACTGAGTGGTTAGTAAATGTTATTCATTATAATTACCCCTGATTTCTCCCTGTCTCTCATTCCTTAAACCCAATTTATCAGAAAATTTATGTAGATCCTCCCTAAAAATGTTTAAAATCCATTGACTTCTGCCTATTTCTATTGCCATCGTTCTACTCTAACCTTCCATATTCTCTGGACCCCTAACAGGTGTCTGCTTCTTCTTGACTAATTTAAATCCATTTTCTTATAATAATCATATGCTATTTTAAAAAGTTTAAATGAATGATCTTTAAAAAATGTTAGTGAATCTCCATATATTTCAATCCCTTTACTAGCTTCCCATTAAACCTTTCCTTGACCTACATACCTTGTGTGTTTGGCCCCTGTCTCCTCTACAGTGTTACTTTCTGCTGTGTTATTTTCCTGGTCGGTCTCTCTAGTTTACCATTACCCACTATTCTGTGGCCACATTGGCCTTTCAATCATTTGAGTAGCCTTTTCCTTTCATGCTTTAAGGCCGTTGTGTCTGACTCTCCCTCTGCTTAGATGATGGGGCTTTCTCTCCCTCCCGAGCCTCTCATCCTTCTCATCCTTCTCATCTCTGCAAACATTAGTTCCTCAGAGAGACTTCCCTAACTACTCAACCTAAATTAGGGCACCACATTCCTCTTCTACCAGTCTGAAGCTCCCTAAACACATCAAAACGTTGATATTTCCTCTGTGCTGGGGAAAAGGTTGGTTAACAGCCTGTGATTATCAAGCATGTAACTCCAAGAGGAGTGTGCACCTTTACCGTAAAGATAAATTTTACACATTATGAACATTGATTGTAGAGCTATTTTAAGAAATAAATTGTTATCTCAAAATTGTACAAGCTAGCTCTTTGATACTGGTATTAAAGACCAAAAAGAAGCCTGCCCGTTGAACTGTTCTGCAGTAGGATGATGGAATCAATTATAACCCCATCATGGGCCTGTTCATTACTGTCAGTCATTTCTGCTCCAAAGAATATAATAGAAATCATAAAATTTCCCTCTTTGAAGTCGTTGCCTGGTTGCCGATAAAACCTTTTGTGTTTCTCTCTTAAAGTGAATGGTCAAGTTTGCTACTCAGACATGAGAAAAGAAGATGTCTCACAGTTAGAGGGTGGAAACAGTGGGGCAATCAATGGCTGGGTCCTGGCTGATTTTTGAATTCAGGGTAAAGTGGCAGAAAAATGGCTGCTTGACTGAACTAGGTCAGATTTCTCTGTGTTTTCCAGTTTCTGCCTTGTTACTTATTTTTAATTAATCCTAGGCCAGAGAAGGGAGGCACTCCTGATTTTTGGCAGTTGCCTAAAGCAGCCAGGAAGAAGGTTATAGGAATTCAGAATCATGATGTGAACTACTTTCACAATTACCTTTGTAGCTTTTCTTTGAAATAGGGGACTTTAAGGAATTCCAAAGAGTGCTGGGACAGATGCTTTAATTTAGGACAATTAGTATAAGTGGGATGACAGTATAAGTGGGATTAGTACAAACGGGATCACTTCTACTCTGTGCCTCCTGTTTGGTTGAATGGTGTTCCTGATTATATAAAAAGTATGGTCTCTTTTGGGAAAAGACTACTTTTTGTTGGCATATTTTAGTAGAACCTATGCCCAAATATTCTTGCTCTGAGGTGTGGGGTAGTGATAATCATTTGGAAAATGATGCATCTAAAAATAAAATACAGTTTTCTAATTGCAGAAAAGTAACATAAATTTAATTTTAAAAATTCTGCCAACCCACCATTAATATCATATTCAGTGGTGAAAAGTCAGAGAAGTTTTTTCTCTAAGACTAGGAACAAACAAGGATGTCAACTGTCGCCACTTTTATTCAACATAGTACTGGAAGTCTTAGCTGAAGCAGTCAGTTAAGAAAAAGAAAGAAAAGACATCCAGATTGGTAAGGAAGAAGTAGAACTGTCAGTGTTTGCAGATGACATGGTATTATATAGAGAAAGCCTAAAGAGTCCATTAAAAATTATTAGAACTGATAAATGAATTCAGTAAAGTGGCAAGGATGCAAAATTAATATACAAAATCCTGTTGGGTTTCTATGCAGTCATAATGAACTAGCAGAAAGAGAAATTAGGAAGATAGTCCCATTTTCAATAACAACAAAAAGAATAAAATACTTAGGAATAAATTTAACCAAGGTGGTGAAAGACTTGTACTCTGAAAACTTTAAGACGTTGATGAAGGAAATTGAAGATGACACAAATAAGTGGAAAGATAGACCACACTTACAGACTAGAAGAATTAATGTTGTTAAAGTGTCCATACTAACCCCAAACAGTCTGTAGATTCAGTGCAGTCCCTATCAAAATACCAATAGTACTTTTCACAGAACTAGAACAAACAATTGTAAAATTTTTATGGAACCATAAAGGACCCTGAATGTCCAAAGTGATTCTGAGAAAGAAGCACAAAGTTGGAGGTATCACAATTCCAGACTTCAGAATATACTGCAGAGCTGTAGTACTCAAAACAGTATGGTCCTGGCACAAAAATAGGCATGTAGATCAGTTGCACAGGAAAGATAGTCCAAAAATAAACCCACACGTATATGGTCAATAAATTTATGATGGAGGCAAAATATACACTGGGGTAAAGACCATCTCTTTAGTAAACAGTGTAGGGAAAACTGAACAGCAACATGCAAAAGAATGAAACCAGACTGCTTTCTTACACTGTATACAGAAATAAACTCAAAATGGATAGAAGGCCAAAATATATGACCTGGATCCAAAAAACTCCTAAAAGAAGACATGGGTGGTCAGCTCTTGGACAGTGTCTTTAGCAATATTTTTCTGGATCTGTCTCCTCCGGCAAGGGAAACAAAAGCAAAAACCCAGCCATTGGGACAGTAAACTAAAAAACTTGTGCACAGCAAAAGAAACCATCAACAAAATAAAAAGGAAACCTACTGAATGAGAGAAGATATTTGCAAATGATATATCTGATAAGTGCAGTTAATATCCAGAATATATAAAGAACTCATAATCCAGGAAAACCAAATAATTGATTAAAAATTGGGCAAAGCACCTGAATAGACATTTCTCCAAAAGAGGACAGATGGCCAAGAGACACGTGAAAAGACGTTTAACATCGCTCATCATCAGAGAAATGTAAAATAGAATCACAATGAGACATCACCTCCCACAGACAGAATGGCTAATGACTATTATAAAAAAGGCAAGAAATAACAGTGTTAGTGAGGATGTGAAGAAAAGGGAAACCTCATGCACTGTTGGTGGGAACGTAAATTGGTGCAGCGACTATGAAAAACAGTAAGGAGGCACCTCAAAAATTTAAAAAATAGAAGTACTATGTAATCCAGGAACCCTGCTCTGGAAGAAGAAAACAAAAACGTTAATTTGAAAAGGTATACGCACCCTTGTGTTTATTGTAGTGTTATTTCTAATAGCCAAGATATGGAAGCAACCCAAGTACCCATCCACAGATGAATGGATTAATAAGATGTGGTATATATGTACAATGGAATAATATGCAGCCATAAAAAGGATGGAAAGCTTGCCATTTACCACAACGTGTATGGACCTAGAGTATATTATGCTAAGTGAAATAAGTCAGACAGAGGCAAATGCATTATGATTTCACTTATATGTAGAATCTAAAAAACAAAATCAGTGAACAAACATAAAAATACTCAGAAATAGAGATAAGTGCAGAGAACATACATGTAGAGAGCAAACGTGGTTGCTAGAGGGCTAAATAGGGGAAGGGGATTAAGAGGTCAAACTTCGAGTTATGTCATGGGGTTGAAAATTACAGTATAGGGAATGTAGTCAATACTGTTGGAATGACTTTGTATGATGACAGGTGGTAACTACATTTATTGTGAACATTTTATATCACTATGTTTTATACCTGAAACTTATATTTTAATTAAAAAAAGATACTGTACCACAGTTCTGCCCTCCCATCAAGGCAAAGTTTTCATATTTTTCTTATTCCCAATTGATGTATATTTATTTTTCAATATAATTGTAATCTTGCAGTGATCTTCTTGTATTTTGTTTTTTGTTGTGTTATGTTTTTTCATATTTCATTTTTTAATAGCTTACTGTATCATTCTGTCAAGTAGATATATCATTATTGCCTAACCATTATCTCGTGGTTGGTTTGCTTTATAATGTATTTTTATGATATATTTTAAATGATGTCTTTGTTATGTTTTAATTTTGCAGGCAGAGACATTTGTTTGGGTTAACAATGCATCAGCGCATTCCCAGAGTGTTGCCAAGGCCAAATATGAGTTTTTATTTGGCAGATCTGAAGAGAAACCTCCAGATACTAGTAAGTGTTTCCTGACCCTCCTCCTGCAGGTAACAGATGTGAAGTGCTACTGAACTTTCCTATCTCAGAAGCTGAGAATTCTTCAGACCAAGAACTGATTTGAAAGTACCCAGAACAGGCTACAAGAATCACATCCAGTATTTCTTAGAAAGTTTGTTTTAAAGAATAATTAAAGCGAGCAGATTTCAAAGAGGTAGGAAGGTAGGGATGAGTGTGAAGAAGTACTCACTCAGTAATGATAAAGGGGATATTAATGTGTCTTGGGACTTAGCTAGGAAAGGGATTCTGCATGTGCTTAGGAACCTGGGCTCTGGAGCTAGACTTCCTGTGTTTGAACTCTGGCCTTGTAGCTTATAAAGTTTGTGACCTTGAGTAGGCTAACCTCTCTGTGCCTCAGTGCTGTCATCTGTAAAATGAGATTCTACAGGTTATAGATAAAATAGTTACATATATCTCAGAATTCTCTTAAGGTTTTAAGTAAATTGACTTATAAAAAGATCTAAGAGCCACGTGTGGCATGTAATAAGTGCTATGAAAGTGTTTGCTGATGTTATTACTTACTGTAATCATCATCGTCATCACCATGTCCCTGACCTTTGAAGTACAGTCTTGACTTTCCTCAATTCTGTCACTGTCTGACATTGATTTTTGTTTTGGGTAGACAAGGAATCTGACCTAATATAGTTGTTGTTCAGTTGAAAAAAAATCAAGTAATAACTGCATTTTGGACTTCTGTGTTGGTCAGGATTATGTGATGGACCTCGTAATATTGGGGGATAGCAAGAATGTAGTGCATATGCATTCATTTAAGAATTTCTTTTACCTTAATAATGAATACTTATTAGATTTCATTAGCTGCGAACTCTTAAGGAAGTATAAACCAGCTTGATTATTTAAAAAAAAAATCATTCTGCTTTTATTAGAATGCCCCAATTTGCTGTTTATCATTCAGCATAAATATCTAACTATTCTGGGCTTGAGGTTTGGGGCACTTAATCATCTGTTCACTATTTCTCAGGCAGGGAATACTGATTCACCCAAGACTATTTAAAACTCCTTCTTAAAACACACACACACACACACACACACACACACACACACACTCCTTCTTGACATAGCTTTACCTTTGCATGTCACATTGTGATTTTGTGCTGTTATTTTTGACTTTGATAAAAAATGATTTTTGCTTCACTATGTAGAGATAATATCAAATGCCTGCATAGTTCTCTGACTTGGAGGATGAGCTTGGCTCTTCTTATGTATAGGTTTTGAGTATACCTGTATACCTGGGACAAATCAGAATGACATTTTAATGACACTTTAAACCTGTTTTTATTTGCCTTGGTAAAGATGGTTAGTATTGTTTTTTTCTAGTGGTGATATGTTCTGCAAGTATGAAAGTATATATGCATTTATTGAATAAATATGTTTAAAGAACACTTAGTTGTGTAGTTACCTGTACTGGGCACTGTGAGGAAGCAAAGAAGTACAGATAGAGTTCTTCCTTTTAGGAACTTATTCTTTGGTCGGGGAGAAACAGATGTGTAAGTGACCAGGGGGAGAGAATAATCATTTCTAGCTCTGACTTCATGGAGAGGTAGAAGTTGAACTTTTTCGTAAAGAAACAACTAGTGTTCTGATTAGGAGGATTTGGAGGGAGGGTATTTCAGATTGGAGGGAATGGTATGAGCAAGGGTATGGTGGCAGAAAATAAAAATTCCTTGAAGGACAGGAAGGAGACTAGCCTGATTGGCTAAAAAAGTATATGAGGAGAGATAAGTTTAGCAAGATAATCATTTTAAAAGGGGCAAAATCATGGAGGGCCTACTAAGGCAAGGTAAAGAGTTTGCACAGTATCCAGGTGTGCAGAAGGAAGTGGAAAATCAAGATGGATTGATCTTGAAATTGGAATAGAGCAGCAGAAGCTGTTGCTTTCCACAAGAGGGTTGTTAGATACCTTTTTCATTTCTTTTTCTTTTCATATCTTTACATATCTTTTCATATCTTTACAAAAAATTATGGCATATTTTTTTTCATTTCAAAACACTGTTGAAATTTCTTTACATAGACTAGTCATCTGTCATCAAAACACTGCCCAGATTCAAAATACTGCAGGGTAAAGTAGTAGAGAGAATAGGACAGTGTTTTATTTGAATTTGATAGACATACTTCCTCCCACAAAGGTTTTTTTTTTTTTCTTAAAAAAAAAAAGTGATTAAATAAGTGACTTAAACTAGGTGCTCCAGAAACATACTGCTGGAGAAATGGATGCATCCCCAGTAATACTCAGGTGCCATCACCTGAGGGGTGGTACCCTAGTAATGACATACTCAGATCAGGTAAAGTCACTTGGTTCGTAAGTGACACTAAGGAAAGTGTCGCCGCTACAGGGAGAGAATGCTTAGACCTTGCCGCTGAGCAGGGACTTAATAGGAGTTGTAGGTGGGAGGTTCTAGGGAAAACAAGTCAAGATTATTTGCAAACTATAGCTTATTGCAGGGATTTTTGAATCAGTGACAAGGCTTAGGGTGTTGGATGGGATACAGGAGAACATGTGAATTGTGGGAAGATGGCTTGGAATTAAGATCTAGATTCTCATTATCTGTTCATCTAGTGTAGTGAAAGGAAAGCGATGACTGTGCTTCACTGGTTTCTTTGTTCGCCTGCTTTCTGGGAGCTGCAGCTTTCAGGAACTTCTCAAGGGCGAGAGCAGTAGTTGGTGATTGTTGAGAGGCTCTTGGCTATGTGTGACATCACTTGTGCTGTGACTTAATGAGGCTGTGAGTCACCAGAGGTAGGCTCTCCTCTTCCATTCCAGTCAGCTGTTGGAATACAAATGGAGTTGCATTGAACTTCAGAGAGATAGAAAGAGGTATCATAGGAGCCTCACCTGGAGCTAACCATAAGGCCTGTATTAATTAATTAGTGTTTGGCTGATGATCAGACTTCCACTTACCACACTTTTCCTCTTTAGGTTGCCTCACTTAGATGACCAGCATGGCTTTTCTAAACTAGTCAGATAAAGTATACTTTAACAGAAAGGTGGCTTCATTTTAGGAAAGTATGTTTTTTGAGGTGTTTGTAAGGCAGTATCAGATGACCACTGTCGGTTGGTCTCTCTTTTATCAAAATCCGGAAGGAAGAAATAATTGAGAAAGGCTTTGAAGAAAAGTAAGACTCTGGTTCTCAACTTACAGGGAGAACACAAGTGAGTTATGGAAGTGTGTGAGGAAGTAAAAGGGCTTGTGGGATGCTAAGAAAGAGAATCAACTTCTTATATTAACTCTTAGAAGTTGACAGAATCTTACTCCTGTATTCTTTATTGATCTGTTTATTCAGGAACAGCAGAGGAATTGCAATTTGGGACATGCAAAGTATGGCAAAATGTAGGAGTCCAAAGATAAAAGGAAAGGAACCTTACTTTTATAGAAAGAAAGGAAGATGGGAGGGGCTGCTTTGAACAGAAGTCCATTGGAAGAAAGAGTTTAGGTTGGTGGACAGTTTCTCATTGGTTGAGTCGTGGTATTATTGGTTGAGTTTATTGCTGGCCAGTGAGAAATTCTTCCTTTCTCCTGCTGAACTCATAAAGTAGGCTTCTTCCTGTTGGGAAAGCACAATACCTCCCTTCCTGTTGGCATCTGCAGTTGACAGTGGTAGGGCATGAGCGCTCCCCTTCTGGCCTCCCCACTCTATTTTAAATGAGGTATCCTTTAGTTTTCAGTTTCACAGACTAGCAAAAACCCACAAATTATTGTCAAAGTAAACGCAAAACCACTGAGGGATCGTTTCATAGCTCAGGACACAGAAAACTCTCATATTAATAAATAAATCAGTAATCCATAATGTTAATCAACTCACATTAAAATGGTATAAATTGCAAAGAGAAAGGAACTTGCATGGAAGGAGGGGTAGTCCATATTCACAAAAACAGGGAATCAAGATACAAAGAACCAGAGCTGGAATATTGTGAAACTGTAAAATTGGTTGTTTAAAAGATAAAAGAGGGAAGAGACACCGTTATGATGAAAGAGGAAAATGTGAAATTAGACATACATATTTGAACAAGAACCAAATATAAGTTATAGAAAATAAAAAAATACAGATTAATCATCCATGTCTCTTAATTTTTCCCTCCTGTTTTAAAATACTACCTTCCATTCTCTCTAATAGAAGTTTCACTTTGATAATTCTGTTTTATAATTTCAAAAGCTCTTTCCCAATCTCTGATCACTCAGTTTTCATTTTATCTGTTCTTTTATGTATGCATTATGTCTAATCTCTCTAAAGAATTCATTAGAATTTTCTTTTTTTTTTAAATTTTTTATTTTTTTATTTATTTGACAGACAGAGATCACAAGTAGGCAGAGAGGGAGGCAGGGAGAGAGAGAGAGGAAGAAGCAGGCTCCCCGCTGAGCAGAAAGCCCGATGCGGGGCTCGATCCCAGGACCCTGAGATCATGACCTGAGCTGAAGGCAGAGGCTTTAACCCACTGAGCCACCCAGGCACCCCTAGAATTGTTTTTCTAAGATTACCTTCTGTTTTTGTAATTTCTACTTCATCCAGGGTCAGTTCTATGTTATTCAATTCCCTTCTCCTCTCTAACTCCCCTTGTCCTCCACACTTCTCTTGGAAGCCACTGTTTTTCCTCAAATGTCTGTTGGAGTTGGTTTTTTTTTTCCCCATTCATACACATGAGTAAAGGACTGAGTTCCCAAATATGACAGCTAGAACTTCTTTGTGTGTGTGGAATGCATCCCCAACAGGCATCTTCCTTGTGTATAGAGAAGGGCTGAGAAGAATCTTTGTGCATTGAGATTTGTGGACTGGTACAGGGGTAGGTGGGTGTGCTGCCTGTTATATTCAGGCTAAGTCTTTGATGCCAGCAAGCCTCTAGGTAGGGAGGGTGGTTGGAGAGGGACCAACATAGGAAGCTGTGCTGTAGTTAATTCTTCAGTTAATCATAGTGACATCTCTTCTGCTTCCCATTCCCATTCTGCTTA